TGCAGTATTATATTGAAACAAAACAGTTCCCACAGTGAACAAACGCTCAGAACCAGACTCAGTGTGGGCGGCCATCTGCCTCGACCGGTGGGGGAGAGGGGAGAGGCCACGAACAGTCGGTAACTGTCATATTTAAGTTCTCTGAGAGTGGAAAATAATACTAGTGGTACTCGTAGATGTAATGATATAGCAGCACCAGTTATTTACAATGATAATAATATGGTGCTGTTATTCCACGGTGGTCTCATTTTAAATACTTTTTATTTACCACCACACAAAGTGCTGATTTGCTCAGATTACTAAGCGCATAATGTCCTTATCTGGCATGAGCTGTAATCTTCTTGTTCTCTAATTAATTCGCAAACCAGTATTCAGATATGAACTGAGGAGGTAGAACCCTTCAGTAGTGCAGCCACTTCTTTCTCAGTGCAGCACCCAGTATATTTACTCCTCAAGCACCACTGATTTGGAGACTATACCTTCTCTGACAGCCTGTTAAGACACAGTGAATAAACTTCAAGAGCTATTTTGACCTTTGTCCGTTCAAGTGTGAGCTTCACCGAGCTACAGTAGCAACCACGGTCTTCTTTTTCCCATTGAACCAAGAACTCCTTTTCCAGTTTTCTATTAGTGTGTATAGTACTGCTTCAATGTGTGTATTTTTGTGAAAGATCTACTCTACTACTACTCTACGAGAGGAGTATGAGGTGCAAGGGCTGGGCAATGAATTATCAGAATATAATTTTCATCAATAGAAATATATCAATATACTGTGTTATATGGTATACTAGTTATGAGGAGGTAGAACCATAGATTGTAAAAAGTATAGGTCATAAACCACGCCTCCTCCACGTTAGTGGATGGCACATGGACCGAATTGAAAAGTCAAAACACCTGTTAAATACATTTATTTACAGTTTATGGGTGTAACACGTTAATCCACCTCGGATTTGTAAATTAAAGTTTAGCTGTTTATCAAGTGTTTGTCATTCTCTGTATAAAGAAGATTGTACAAACCACAACCTCCACTCAGAAGCAAAACTCAGTCTTTAAACTTTCACGAAATAATGTGACGTCTATCAGGATAAATCTTAGCACAGACTGATATTAAAGTTCTTATCTTGATATAATGTTTGTCTCGTCCAGACCTGTGATAAATCATAAAAGCTAATTAAACAGCCTCTCAGAAAGAAGGAAAACCTTTTGCTCCCATGTTTGACACTTGCCAACATCATAGGTCTGAGCTTGTAAGCAGTGTACCTAAATATATCCTTCAGTTGGCAGACATAACAAACCTGCCAAAGGGCATATTTGTACTTTAAAAGGCCTCCCTCCTCTCTGCAAATGGTAATGAGAAATACCTGAGGGAGGCCATGGTAACAGGCACTGGTGCAGGGTATCTGCCACAGTGTGTGTGTGTGTGTGTGTGTGTGTGTGAGTGTTAGTGAGTGTGATGGATGAGTTGGTCACAGTGGAACCCCCCCCCCACCACCACCACCACCACAACCACCAGAAACCCATGCGCTTCCACAAGCATTGAATCAAACCCTGCCACATCTTTCTGTGTGTGTCCTCCACTGTACTTTCCACAGAATGGAGAACAGTGAAGGTTCCTTTAACCGACTACAGTGACATTCATAACACAAGGAGAAGCCAGAGAAGTGTGACAGTGACTCAGTGAAGTCAGGCCGTGCTCGATCCTCCGCTCTGGAAAAACTCTGTGTGATGAAATGATTCTCAGGTGTAATGCTGATATGTGAAGGAGAGATCACAGTGATATGCATCAAAACTATTAAATGTATGTCTGATGAGGCCATACTCAGTGAAGCCTATTATTTAATTACTGGCTATATAGGAAGTCTGCAGCTGTAAATGTTAGTGGGGAGTTTATAAATTGATTTTTATTCAAACGTCCTGCAGGATATAAGTGAACAGCCAAGGGTCTGAAAGTTGTTCTTATTAATGACTTTTAAAGGATCTATAAAACATCAGTGGACCAAGTGATTTGTTAACCATTGATTGATCCATTAGTTTATAAATGGTGCCTTTTCAGAAAGTGTTACTTCCACCTTTACTTCAGTAACAGACCTGAGCCCTAACTATAACTGTGTCATTATCCCTTTTAGCTTCTGCGTGTTTAATTAAAACTTAATATAAAAAGAAGGAACACATGACAAAGCACAATAAGAGAAAATGAAAAGCTGCTCCGACTCACAGAGCAGCAACAGTGAGCATAGCAACAGTTGCTAGGGAGAGACAGGGCAGATCCCTAAAGAGCTGATTTGCTCATTTGGAAAAGTTAGACACGCAAAACAAATTCCCTGAGGACTTTAATTTCCAGCATGGCAATACTAACACCATATGTGGTCCAAGGTAAACCGTAACCTGAGGATGAATTATATTCAAATACGTAAAAAAACCAATTGTAAAGTTGTTTTGTACGGGGGAGTGTCTGTTTAACAGATGCATGGGATCTCCATGGAAACACATCATCGAGACGAAAATACGAGGAGGTTGTTTACAGCGGACAACTTCACAACATCATGTTACTGCCTTCATCCTTCACACAGGTCTGTCTGATGACTGAGTCAGCGGTGATACACCACAGTTCCATTCATATACCTGTGTTGTATATTTACAGCGCTGCGTGTTAGTAGAATGATCATTCGTGTGTGATCCATCTGACATAGTTTAATACTTATACAGTCAAAGTTTTATTATAAAATAGCTTAAAATGTTACTTTCGAAAATATTTAACTGCTCAAAATACAACAAAAGTAACACACAACAACCATGAACTTTGAAAGTACAATTTAATAAAGATGAATCTCAATTCACATCATTTTTAAATAACAAATGTCTATTTCTCAGGAGAACACTCAGGTTTATTCATTTTTTTGAAGACCTATTTACACTTCGACTGAACTTAAATTACATTCAGAAAATAAATTGTATGAACACTTTTTTTTTCACTTTTAGAATTATTTTGAAAACATCTGAATTTGAAGTCTGAGGTTGATGCTATTTTGTGGCTACAGAGAATAGCAGCAGTCCATCACACACAGTAAATACACTTGACAGTGGAAACAGGTGTTACGAGCTCCTACAGTCTTGTTTTCTCTGACATGATTTCACACCCGTTGATAGCCGAGCCTGTAAATGCTCCTCTACTGTTGCTGGCTGCCTTCTGTTACGTTACATGAGTTGCACCTCAGAACTCGGAGCAACAGGGTGCTGACAACCTCAGTAACACCAAATGTGTTTGTGGTGCACCAAAAACTTTTTGATAGCCACTTAGTGAGAGATGCACATTAGATTTACAGAAAATATTCCTTTCATTGCATCTACTGCATCATTGCTCCTTTTGAGGTGAAACCAGAGATTCCTGACACGCAGAACTTTCTGTTACTGTCATGGTTCATGTTTGAGTCTGCGAAGTAAAAACACACCAATGACGCTGAGTATAGAGTGTTTACATCTGCCAACAAATTCACTATATCCTGATTTTTATTTGGATTTGCACAAACATCTAAAGATTTTTCATCAAGATCCATGAAGGATTCTGTTGTTTGAAAACACTCCCATTAATTGGCTCTTCCTTGGTTCGTGCCCCACCCCTCCACAAATTTTCATGGATATCGATCGAGTAGTTTTTGCCTAATCCTCCGAACTAACGGATAAACAAAGAAATGCAGACAAAAACCTAATGTCCTTGGTGGAGGCAACAACCCACTGCATGGACTCAGGAATTTGAAATCCAACCACATAGCTGCATAATAGCAGTATTCAATAACTCTCTTAAGAAATATGGCTTTCCTAGACGGCCAGACTCCAAACCCTCTTTCCTTGCCACCTGCAGTCGCCCCCCGTGCGGCTCTGGGAAAAGTGCTTCGTCTGAGCCCGTGGAACAAAGACTCGGTGTCCTGCCTCCGAGCTATCTCCAGTGGAACCCAGAGCATTACTGCAGAGCTGGCAATGACTTCAAAGATCCCCCACAGAGGGAAAACCCCCTGGCATCCAGATGTACGTTTTCTGGGATGTGTTTTGCGCTGCAGGTTTATAGCAGGATTCGACCGGCCATTTTTCCTCACTACCTGCTGCTTCCACTTTTTATCCATTCACTCTTCTAGCTTCTATGCCATTTCATAATTTCAGGCTTATTTGGCCATGCTTTTACTGCAAGCCAATATGTTTGATTTCTTCGGGAACACCGATTTCTCACCTTCTCCTATTCCAAGGCTGTAAAGTACACCCTGCACTGTATCATAACAATCTCAGATCTGAGCATGTGAAGGGCGGTGTATTAAATGGATCCACCCTTGGGGAAGCGAGCAAACAAACGCAAAGCTGAGACATCCTGAAGAGCAAGAACAAGATGAAACACCTTTTCAACAAAACAAACACTGAGGAGATCACAGACTCTGAGTGTTCCAGTGATGAGACTCGGGATGACTTCCTGAGAGTTACTACCGCTGCTCCACATCTTCCCACATTTTAATAAACTTTCTATGAAGAATCTGAAGAGCACGAGGCAGAGATGACTTCTTAACCAACCGTGCAGGACGCTCACAACTTTCTGAGAATAGTTTCTGTCACACTCTGACTCCGCTCAGATCACTGTTAAAGCAATGCAACTTTTTTTTAACCTTACAATAGCTGCTCCAATATTAGTTTGTTGGTTCACTGACTTGGAATAAGTAGAATGTTTCATCTTCTATTCCCACTCCTCACCCCGATCCTCTGTTCTTGCTCTATGTAACTTTGGTGAGTGGGTACGAACTCCTGTGAGAAGTGTGGAACTGACTATTGTCAAAATCAGGTCCTGCAAGCAACAGAGAGAGAGCATGCTAAGGAAGAGTCATATATCATGCATGTTATGTGCAATAACATATTGAATACTCAACACAAGTACAACAACAAACCACAATGCATCTAAATTAAGGGAAAGGAACAAGGTTATGGTAAATGTAAAAACTGTACAAATACAGTACATGGTTAGGTCAATTTAATATTTATTATATTTATATTGTTAGTGGCCATAACAAGGTTGTTAGTAACACTGACAGGTCAACACCATAAACAGTGACAGTATGAAGCAGTGTTCAGTAGGTGTGTGTCATTAAGGCTCCAGCTGATGTTGCAGAGGAACTGGGTCTAACAATATGCGTCAGAATCACATGGGTGAAATCGTAGATGCTCTGGCTTGAGATTCCTGTGATATTAGTCAGTTCTGCCACAACCTGTGACACAAGAGAACAAAGTAATCATACATAAATGAAGGAATATATACGAGTACACGTTAACATGAAGTGAAGAAGGTTAAAGAGGATGACTTGGTATGTTTACAGTGTTGAATTGACCCGTTCACACTTTTATGAACCATGTGTGTTTTACCGCTTCCCATTTTCTGACATAGAGGATGAACGTTGCCATGGCGATGACCCCAACACCAAGAAGCATGTAGTCTTCAGTCACTGTCACAAACTTCTCTCTGGTTTTTAAATAAGATGTGTTTTAGTGGATAAGTGTTGGACTTTACATTTGCCAGGTGGCCACAATGCAACTTTCAAATGAATGCTAATGTTACTCTGTGTCTACAGGATGTGTAAATAAGCAAATGTTTGCTAACAAGTTGTTAATATGTCAATGTGGTGTTCACAGCTTGTTTCTGCTGCCTCCTAGTGGCCAAAAAACTTCACCTATTATCACAGAGCTTTAATAATTTTACCCAGTAACAAAACCAGGCTATAATCATTCTTAAACTTAAAACTGAGCACACACACGATGCCTTTTAACTGTTTCTTTCTCCTTTTGTAGTATTGGAGTTCAGGGGGGGACATGCAGTATGTCCCCCCCTGTAAGGTCTGAAAAGTTCAAAAGCCCAAAGGGTCTTGGGTAAACATGTTACAGGGAAACAGGACATAGGAAATCTGATAGCACAAGACAGAGTTTGAAACTAAAACAACACTGACACCTCTCAGCTGTTTGCAGTTTACTCCACTATCCGCTTATTCATTCTACCATGACGCTAACCACCTGTCCCAAAACATCAGATCAAACATGGATGTAGTACCTCTGTTCTCTGGAGGGGCTGCCACACTGAGTGGTCCTCTCTAACAATGTGTCGTAGATGGCGGTTCGGTCCACTCTGACAAACTGCAGAATGTGGAGGCACAAGTCATACAGGTGCTCCACAGGGACAGACGGCTCATTGTGTCCTATCAGAGTTAGAATGATCACAGATCAGTGCAGCCCTTTCCATTAATATAGTCACATTTCTAGTGGCTCTGTGTTTACGGTGTCTTACCCAGGACCTCCAGAAGTAACTCCACGTACGTCAGAGGATTTGGGGCATTTAGTCTGAATTCAAGTGCTTTCATGATCGTCATCTCTGACTCGAAGAGTTTCTTCTTGGAAACACTGATGCCGACTGAGTGCAGAAAGTGCACAGCAGCCTTGTTTGTGATTATCTACAAATCGTTGGAGCAATTATAGGGAGATTTATTTCCTTTTAATTGCAGGGAATTGAAAGTTATTAACGGCAGACGTCTCAGAACTTACGTCACTGTACAGAGACAGTTTGCTCGCGAGTTGCAAGCAGGAGAAGACAAAGACAGGGAATTTTTTCTTGATCTCGTCAAAGACAGCATCCTCGTGATGTCTTTCAGCAGCTGCTGCTTGAGGTGAGGGTGAGGTGAGCAAATCTGTAAGGAGCTTCACCATGAACCTGACGAAGATAAAAAAAAAAAAGGCTATATAACATTAATGAACAAGGTGAGGCGGGGAAAAGGCAAATATGCTGCTTCTTATTACCTCTGAAGCAATTCGATGGCTTGGTATCCAACCAGAGGATCAAGTCTCAGCTCTTTAGTTATGAGGAAGATGCACTCTGGGTAAAAGCAGAGAGGGGTACATGTTGTTCACAAAAGCACAAAACAAAAGAGAAAAATCTGTCTGTCGGTGAAGGCGTGAGCTCAGCACATTGAGAAAAGACGTGACAGACCATAATCAGAGCATATATACAAAATACATTCACCAATTAAAAAAAACAATATGCAATATGATGCATGCAGGAAAACAAAGGCAGTAGATGTGTAGATGTTTTAGAAATCCTCTGTAAAGTGACTCAGGCAGAGATCTCGTGTCGTTCTGTGAAATGGGATCAATAAAATGAAATCTGAGCCGTAACTCTCCAAGTATCCTCTGTCATTTATGAGCTCTCTGCCGTGATGCTAATTGAACATAGTGCAAATGAAAAACTATAAATATCTTCCATCGTTTAGCGAGGTACAAATCGTCCTCTGGATGATGATATAAAATAACACGGATGCCCAGATGTTCCAGTGGAGCAAAGAATGAAGCCCGTTAAAGAGACAGAACTTATTAAAGAGGTATCCACATGAATTCATTTTAATTAAGTGCACTTTAGGTTGTCGGTGAACTACTAGGAAGCTTCTGGATGTTAATGTCTTGATCGCCCCCTGGTGGTTTGCTGCAGTAAAGGTCATAAACCGTGCCTCCTCCATGTTAGTGGATGGCACGTGGACCAAACTAAAAGGTCAAAGTACAAATACATTTTTTAAACTGATGCGTGTCCAAATCTTTGGTTCTATGGTCAAAAATATCACAGCTAAGGAGCTAAGAAGAGAGTTTGTGTGAGTTAGTGGTGCCTGGAGATAAATTAACTAATTGCATTTAGCCACTATACTGCCCCCTACTGGAGTCAGCTCCCAATGGATATCAATGATATGCAATGACTTTAGACATGCAGAGCTCGTGTGTGCAGCTGAAAATATTCCATTAATTGGAGGAAATTATGAAGAGTTGCTTCAGCTGTGACTGTGACAGTAGATATCACACATGATACAAGAGACGTCTGCACCATTGTTACTGCAGTTTAACTCTGGTTTAACTCTCTCACCTGTGCAGTACAACGGTTCACGTGCAACGTACATATCCTCACACTGCACATGGTTCCCTTGTTCTTACACTGTATATATAAGAAGAAGTATTTTTATCCTTACACCCAAGTATTGAGTGTTACTGAATACTTACTGGTGCCTACTTATGACTGTTGCTGCTGTAACAGTCAAATTTCCAATAAAGGATATCTTACCTTATCTTATCTTGTCTTGACTTGTTTTATCTTGTCTTATCTTATCTTGTCTTACCTTACCTTATCTTATCGTGTCTCGTCTTATCTTGTCTTATCTTATCTTACCTTATCTT